TTGCTCTCCTCGTTCTCCATCTCGGAGAGGCCGATGTCGTTGGGTGGAGGCGTCTGGTGGGCGTGGGTCTGGTGGTACTTGAGGCCGTTGATGTGTTTGTACTTCTTGCCGCAGTTGGGCTCGGGGCATTCGATGAGGGTCGGGGAGCCTGGGGGTCCCTCGGTGGGGGTCGGGGTGCTGCGGGAACTCGAGCGACTTCGCTTCTTCGAGTCGGGGGAGGCGGCGCCGAGGTCGTTTGCGTAGTCGCTGGAGCTGTGGTTGCCAGAGCTGTGGTTGCCAGTACTGTTGCTGCTCCGTCCCTTCCGCTTCCCGCTGTAGCCCGACGTCTCCGATTTCGCCGGGCTCGGCGGCGGCGCGAACGCCCCGCCCGACGTCCCCCCGCCGCGCGGCCGCCCCTTCCCGCTTCGCAGTTTGCTCTGCGCCGCCGAACGCGTTTCCGGCGCAGACGATCCGTCCACATTCACCGGCGTGTTGGGGGCTCGGCCCCGTTTCCCCCGGCCTTTCGGCGTGCGCACCTCCGGATCGCTTGTCGGGGAATCACAGAACCTGCAAAACGGACCCGGCATCACATCAATTAGTTTCATCCTCGCAACTCGATTGCACTAATTAAAATACAAATATTTAAAACTTTTTAATATTAAAAATATATATCATCCAGAGAAAAACTCATATCACAACTTCTATATTCAGCCTTCTCCCCTTCTGAATCATGCTATTTAATACATTACATTCTTACATTTACCATATATTTATTTATTATACCAAGCAATGTCACCTCATGGAGAACAGCTCCTGTTCAATATTTACCATGTTAACACAACGTAATAATCTCCCTCGCTGATGACGCACGAAACTGCCCCACAGATGACTCAAACCATATTAACCCCCCTTATCACACAAATTTTAATTTTAAAATCCGATAAGCCCATATTTACCCATCAATGACCTCCCCCCCGATAAAACCAGAATTTAAACAAAACTGCCAACCTGGGAGGCGCCCAGTCATGCCTGGTGCAGTCGAGCAGGGTCCCCACGTACGTCTTCCCCCTCCAGGTCACGTTCACCACGAGGACCCCTGTGGATCAAATAACAATCCAAATAAATACACTCGGACGGGGAGGGAAAGCAACGTCGGGCCGGGATAATCAGAGGCTTGCGT